CCGACATGAAGTAATTATGCATCGCTTCCTTATCCATCTTGTGTGTGTTATAGCAAGCTTGGGCCGCCTTTCGCAAGAGCTTCTGCATCTTGCTCAGAGTGTCCCACCACGTGGCTTGGTCCTGCGCTTGGAGCTTGGGAACGCGCTGGAGAGAGGGGAAAGGGGTGGGGGAGAAAAAGGGGGGAGATGTTATTTGGAAGGAAAATTAGATAAATGAGGTATATCAAAGGTGGTTAAAAAATATATATAAACACAGACACAGACACACACACACACACACAAACACACATACACACACACACACATATTGCTTAGATATAGATATATAGATAGAGATTAGACAGAAAGATATGGATTATATATTGACCTAGAGATATAGATTAGATCTAGAGATATAGCTTAGATATGCATAGATTAGATATAGTTATAGATAGATAACTTTTAGAAACAGATAGCTAGATATAGAATAATTATACATACATACATAGGTCCTTATATCCAAACAGTGTACATGGATACTCGTTATAAATCAATAGACAGACATTAAAGAATATGCTTGACGAATAAACAATTTGTATATATAAACAAAAAACATATTTGAATATATATACGAATGAAATATAGATGACTAAATAACTGAATAAAAGGATATACGATTAATTAACTAAATAAATAAGTAAATAGGCCAAAAAAGGCTTAACTATATAAACAAAAAGAATATGCTTGACGAATAAACAAATAAACAGATGAAATACAACAAATGAATAACTAATTAGATAAATTGATAAACTCACTCAAAATCTCTTTCATTATTCTTTTTTAATCTCCTTGGCGTGATAAAATTTCCTTTTGATTAATGATTCTGAAGAGCTTTTCGCTAATTTGGCTAAAGATTATGGAAATATCGTGAAATTCTACATTTAGAAAAATATATATGTTTTTTATGAGTTCCCGGTACCTTTGTATGAAATTCCTTTTCATATTTTAATTGTTGTGTTTTATTTATTTACTTATTTATTTATTTATTTTTTTTTTTTACTAAACCTTGGTTATCAGTTTATTATCATTATTATTATTATTATTATCATCATGATTATTATTATCATTATTATTATCATTATGATTATTATTATCATTATGATTATTATTATCATTATTATTTATTCTTTTATAATTATCATAATCCCCATCATTATCATCATTTTAATTGTCATGATTATAATCATCATCATCGTCGTCGTCATTATTTCCGTTACCATCATCGTCACCATCACTATAATCATCATCATCATCATCGTCATCATCACCATCATTATAATCATCATAATAATCTTTATCATCATCAATACAATTATAATCACCAATATAATAATAATAATAATAATGATAATAATAATAATAATAATAATAATAATAATAATAATAATAATAATAATAAATATCATCATTGTTATTATCACTGGTTCACGGTAAGAATAACAACTTAGTGTTTCTCTCACGGTCAAAATAACTCTCATGCGTCCGCGGCCAACTACAACCCCAATATATCTTTCTCAGCCAAGTTATTTTCATTCCTCCGCGCGTAAAATCTATTACATTACTTTATCTGACTACGAATTGTGCAAGAAAAGATTATATGAAATTTATGGTACGAGTTGCCATTATCACCTGATCTGATGTGGCCACGCCCCCTTGCCTCTCCTAAGCACCGCCCACAAAAACGCGATTCGTGGTAAGGAAATACAAACAAATAAACAAAATAAAAGGAAACATGTAAATATATATATTTTTTTTGTTCGATAGCCTGCAACGGAAACTTTTTTTCTTTCTTTTTTTCTTTATTAATAGTCACCCTACCGAAAGGGTTTGGAATGCCTTTCACAAATGTCACTTTTGTATCTCCTTATTATCAGTTTCTTATACATGTTTATGTCATTATTGGTAAGCGGATTCTGATAGATTTTGTGTCAGTAATTCCTTATTGTATTTATATGTATATTTGTTTCATGGAACTCTCACTTGGTGCCGAAATCAATGCCTTTACAGCACTGGTTCCTAGCCTGTAGTATATGTACAAACAGCGTTACACTTACACTGTTAAAAAGGTACAGTGAATATATGCCAACTGATAGGCCTACATAGATACCCGTCAGTAATCGCTCCCAAGCCAATCTGCTTGTTCTTGATTTGTTTCCTTAATTGTATTATATAAGCAATATTTAATTAACTATTCAACTTCCGGCTTGATGGTATTCCCGACTACCTCAAAAATCTGCCCCACGTGAGTAGTATTTGCATTTATATGTAACAGATGAACATATTTTGTTGAGTTCAGTCATTTGATGCCAATGCAGATCTATGTATTCTAAGCATATTGATGACATGAAAAACATAACATCGTTTTTTTTTTCTCTCTATAATAATTAAGGGTCCAAGTGATACACAGGTACCATTACTCTACAATACCTGATGAGGAGTTTTGTTCAACTCGAAACGGTGCTACAGTTCTCTTTTCACCGTGGTTGTGTCTGAGTTTCGGTTTCCCCAGTTTAATCATCAAAACTGCATCGAATTGATGAAATCTATACTCGCGTAAAATCTATACTTAACAAATCTTGATTAACTCTTCATATACTTTCTTAAATGCCATTATCTTCTCCCTCTCTCTCTCTCTCTCTCTCTCTCTCTCTCTCTCTCTTTCCCTCTCTCTCTCTTTCTCTCTCTCTCTCTCTCTCTCTCTCTCTCTCTCTCTCTCTCTCTCTCTCCTTTCTCTCTCTCTCTCCCCCTCTCTCTCTCTCTCTCTCTCTCTCTCTCTCTCTCTCTCTCTCTCTCTCTCTCCTCCCTCCCTCTCTCTCTCTCTCTCTAGGTGCTCATGTACCTCAAATTACCTACTGTTTAAGGATAAATTTATTCATGCGTTTTTGAAATCTTATAAGTCACCTACATGAAAATTCACACGCGTTCAGTGAAAAGAGAAAAGATTTTTAAAATAATGTTATTTTCGTTTATTTTCACCGGTGTATGACGTCATGACCACAACAAAGTCTCGGGGAAGGGAAAGAATCAATTCGGAGAGAGAGAGAGAGAGAGAGAGAGAGAGAGAGAGAGAGAGAGAGAGAGAGAGAGAGAGAGAGAGAGAGGGGGGGGGGGCAAGAGAGAGAGAGGGGGGGGCAAGAGAGAGAGAGGGGGGGGGGCAAGAGAGAGAGAGAGAGAAAGGGGAGGGCAAGAGAGAGAGAGAGAGAGAGAGAGAGAGAGAGAGAGAGAGAGAGAGAGAGAGAGAGAGAGAGAGAGAGAGAGAGAGAGAGAGAGAGAGAGGGGGGGGGGGGTGAACGTGAGAGAGAGAGAGGAGGGGGGACAAGAGAGAGAGAGAGACAGGGAGGGAGAGAATCAATTCAGGGTGACTGACAATAGGCCAACACAACCTGCCTCGCTTCCTCCCTAACCTTTTTTCCTTCTTCTGATTTTCTATTCAACCTATTTAATAGGTGTGTGTGTGCGTGTTTGTTTGTGTGTGCTTGTTTTTTTTATGTGTATGTGTGTCTGCTCGTTCATTTCTGTGTGTGTCTGTGCGTGCTTGTTTGTCTGTGTATTTGTGTGCTTGTTTGTTCGCGTCTGTACCTGCCTTCTATTTACCTTTCTACCTACCTACCTACCTACCTGTCTGACTGCCTGCCTGCCTGTCTGTCTGCCTGCCTACCTGCCTACCTACCTACCTACCTGTCTTTTATACCACAAACACATATCTCACCACCCCCTTCCCTCCTACTCTTAGCATTCCATTCCCCAACATAAGCGTCAACTTCATTACATAATAACTCTTCACACACCTAAAAAGACTATAATACTTATTTCAAGGCGCCATCGGACAAAAATAAATCGATCCAGCCACCAAAATACAATGGATAAGATCTATAAATTCCATAATAACAATGAGAGCTGATATGTTAGACACATACGCATGTTCATCCTTGGGAAATACTTTCTCGTAACCATGGCGACTAGACAAATGTCCTTTGTGGCTTGTAACAATGGCGGGGTTTACAGAGGAGGAGGAATGTGGAGTCTCGTTTCTTATCTTGCAGGATATTTAGTAGTTAACACAAGGGCAGTGGTGGTGGAGGTGGAGGGGATAGGAAGGGGAATGGGGGAAAGGAGATAGGGAGAAGGGAAGGGGATTGGGGGAGAAGGGGAAGGGAAAGGGAAAAAGAGAAGACGAAGGAGAAGAAGGGAAAGGAAAGGGAAAAAGAGAAGGAAGGGCAGTGGTGGTGGTTGAGGGAGAAGGTGAAGGGAAAGGGAAAAGGAAGGGAAAGGGAAAGTGGAAGGAGAGGGGGAAGAGTTAGGCTAAGAGGAAATGGGATGGGGAAGGCTAGTGCTCCGTACCCTACTACCCCTCCCCGTCCCATTTCCCCTTACCCTAACCCCCCTAAATGGGCCGTAATATATAAAGTAGATTTTTTTTTTCTTTAGTGCGTTTGAAAATTCAGGAACTACACCTTCTAAGGTTTATCCTAACTATGTATCTCATTGTGTGTATGTGTGTGTGTGTGTGTGTGTGTTTGTGTGTGTGTTCCCGCGTGTGCGTGTAGATCACAGATACACCTCAATCCAAACCAATTCTCATATATCACGTCTCTCCTTAATTCTCTCCTTACGTCTCTAGGCCTACATACCTTGTTGTTGAAATTGACGAGGATGGAGGATATTGGCTGAAGGATATAGACGAAAGGTACGGCGTTGGAATCCCTCTTGTACCAGGTGTCGATGAGGATGGTGTCCACGCCCATGTTGATGAGGGCTTCGCGTAGCATGAGGAGTTCAGAGCCGAGGATCACGGTTGGAATGGGTCTGTAGCCGTACTTTTGCCCGCCGAAGAACTGGGAGGCAATAATAATAGTAGTTGTAGTAATGATGATAATAATAATAATAATAATAATAATAATATTGATAACAACAATAATAATGATAATAATAATGATAATAATAATAATAATAATAATGAT